CCCTAGGCTTGGTTTAACCAAACACTCAGTAAATTAGCTCCAAGAAGAAAGGCTCTGTTTCCATCACTGTATATGATAGCAAGCACGAGGTCCATGTAAACATCCATTTTGATGTGGCCTTCTCAGAAGCCCTTCCAATCCTTAAACTTCTAATTCTTGGCTTTCCCAGGCACGGTGGTGCATGCCTGTAATCCCAGCGATTTGGGAGGTTGGAGTAGGAGGGTTGCAAGTTCAAAGCCAGCCTCAGCAAAAGCTAAGCAACTCAGTGAGGCCCTGTCTTAAAATATAAAATAGGGCTGGGGATGTGGCTCAATGGTTGACTGCTCCTGAGTTCAATCCCTGGTGCCCCCAAAAAATGTTTGGCCTTGGTACTCAAATTTGATCATTACACATTGTACGTATCAAAATATCACACAGTATCACATAAATATGTTACCATTAAAAAATTGGCTTAGATCAGTACTGGTGACCATAGATGGGTTTTCACTAGGAAATGACCTCAGAAGCATTTCCACTTATTAAAGTTAGTTTATTAGGTACAAAGAAATGAATCTGCAGAGGAAGGCATCAATAAATATAAAATACAGGTGAAACAGGGGGAGAGTCACAGACAACAGGGTCAGTGAAGATGTGGGAGGTGGCAGGGACGCCTCTCTGATGAGTCCATGGTCCAGGGGCTCAGCCTGTACACTGCCCAAGCTTGGAGGGTGCGCGTTCAGTGACAGGTCTTGAGGACACACGTGATGCCGGATTCCTGAGGTTGCTCCCTATTTGCCATTTTTTGGTTTCTGCTCCTTCCTTCCCTCTGTTCTTGGATGGTTGTATTATAAATTTTCTATCCCAGCAGAACTTCTGAATGTCTCACCAGGGCCGGCAGTCCACTCCAAAGTGGAACTGCCTATGTCTAGGGCCTTCTCCATTATGCAAATTAAAGCTCTTGTAAATATTTTATGCAACCGGAAGGAAGGCAGAGTGGATACTGTCCCCCACATGAAATCCTGGACTTCTTGGAAAACTTCCAGAACCAATACAATAAATCAATAATGCAAAAGGCCTACGAACGCTTCTTTCCCACTGATTTTAGCTGTTACGATTTGGCCTGAGTCGTGCCCCCAGAGATGCATACTTGACGCTGACTCAGTTTCTCCCATCTGAAATGAGCAAGCACACACCGA